TTTAAAAATAGAATACGGTTGCGTGTGTGAGAACAAGTAAGTGCGTATGTATGTATGTATGTATGCTTACTTGAGCAAGAAGACGATTTTTAAGCCGAAATCCTTTCTGTGCCAAAACGAATTAATTTACAGCAGTAGAAAAAAGGGTGAGAGGTGTGAGTGTCAAAAGAAATTCTAATTGAACAGGTTGCATACAGATATTAACAGTTTAATTGATGTATTAGCTTATTACAGCTTAACTATGCATTAACTATTTTTGATTGGCACCTTAATTCTTATCCATTTTTTTCATCAGAGAAGCATAATTTTTGGAACATAGAGTTTTCTAACCACTCTTGAATTACGAATTAAATTTTATCGAAATCGTATAACCATGTCATATAGCTGCCATATAAACAATAGTCGAAAATATGGAAAATTAATAGGAAAATCGTCATAGCTTCGATGTTGTATTTTGTTCGACATATGTAAATACATATGTATGTATTTGATGACTGCAAGGGTATATACATAAGCTTCTTTTCTTGTTTAAAAATAATATAGTAAAATCTCAGATGTTGAATATTAAATTAAATTCCTAGTGATTTTTTGTTAATAGTAAAAATACCTGACCTCAATATAAATTTATACAAAATCATTGTAAATTAATGATAACTATAAAAGTTCCAGATGCTAAAAATGGGCTAGGAAATTTATTCTTTTTTAAAAATGCTACCTTGTTATTTGTTAAAATAGCTGCGAGACAACCCGTTTTTAGAACATTGCCATGTTTTTCAAGCGAAAAACTTTACCGGAAAGAATTTATTGTCTTCTCAGATGTTTTTACTATATTATTATACTCTTGCAGAGCAAAGGGTATTATAATTTCTGTCAGAAGTTTGCAACGCAGTGAAGGAGACACCTTAGACCCAATAAAGTATACATACATATTCTTGATCAGCATCACGATCAGAATCGAAATACGAATGTACGTCTGTCCGTCTGTCTGTTCCTATGTAAACTAGTCTCTCAGTTTTAAAGCTATCTTGCTAAAACTTTCCCAAAAGGTGTGTAGTTATCTCAAGCAGTATATACATAAGTCGGAACGGGCAGGACCGGTCGACTATATCTGATAGCTCCCATACGAGAGAGTGAAACAAAAAATTCTCATGCTGTTGTTTTTGATCAGATCGGCTTGATTTCTTCAAGATGGAGTTTTCTAACTACTATTGAATTTGGGATAAAATTTTATTAAAATCGGATAACTCTTTCATATAGCTGCCATACAAAAGATCGAAAAATATATATATAAATAGTGGAAAAAAATTATAACGTCGTTGTTTTTCAACGGATAAGCATGATTTTTGGAATATAAAGTTTTTCCACGACTCTTGAATTACGAATTAAATTTGATTAAAATCGGACAACTATATCATATAGCTGCCATATGATCTATAGACAACAAGAAAGAAAGCTAACTTTGGCAAGCTGAAGCTGATATACCCTTGCAGTCACTAAATATGTCTAACAAAATACATAAAAGCTAAACGGCATCGAAGCTATGACGATTTTTCTATTAATTTTCCAAATTGTTCATATGACAGCTATATGATATAGTCGTCCGATTTTGATGAAATTTAAATTGTATTTCAAGACTCATTAGAAAATTCTTTATTTCAAAAATCATGATTGTCTGATGAAAAACAACGATGTTATCATTTTATTTCCGTTATTTATATATAGATTTTTCGATCTCTCCTATGGCAGCTATATGAATCGGAGTACTACGATTTTTATGAAATTTTTTTCTCGATTTAAGATTATTTAAAAAACTTGATGTTCCAAAAATCATGCTCATGGCATTAAAAACCACGACATTATAATTTTTTTTTTCATTATTTATATGTATATTTTTTGATCTCTCCTATGGCAGCTATATGATAGAGTTATCCGATTTTGATAAAATTTAATACGAAATTCAATAGCAGTTAGAAAACGCCATCTGGAAGGAATCAAGTCGATCTGATCAAAAACAACGGAGTAAGAATTTTTTATTTCATTCTCTTGTATGGGAGCTATCCGATATAGTCGGCCGATCCGGCTCGTTCCGACTTATATACTGCGTGCAATAACTGCACACCTTTTGCGAAAGTTTCAGCGAGATAGCTTTAAAACTGAGAGACTAGTTACATAGAAACCGACAGGAGGACAGACAGACATACGGACAGTCGTACAGACGGATTTCGATTCTGATCGTGATGCTGATCAAGAATATATATACTTTATGGGGTCTGAGGTGTCTCCTTCACTGCGTTGCAAACTTCTGACTGAAATTATAATACCCTTTTGCTCTGCAAGGGTATAAAAATATGGAAAACAAGAAAAGAAGCTAGCTTCGGCAAGCCGAAGCTTATATACCCTTGCAGTCATCAAATATGTTCAACAAAATGCATAAGGGCTAAACAACTTCGAAACTATGACGATTTATCTTTTAATTTTCCATATTTTCGACTATTGTTCGTATGGCAGCTATATGATATAGTTGTCCGATTTTGATGAAATTTAATAAGTAATCCAAGAGTAGTTAGAAAATGATGAATTCCAAAACTTATGCTTGTCTTATTAAAAACAACGGCGTGAGCATTTTTTACTTCATTCTCTCGTATGGGAGTTATCCGAAATAGTCGGCCGATCCGGCTCGTTCCGACTTATATACTGCGTGCAATAACTACACACCTTTTGGGAAAGTTTCAGCAAGATAGCTTTAAAACTGAGAGACTAGTTTAGGCAGAAACGGACAGGAAGACAGACGGACAGACTCACAGACATATTTCGATTCAGATCGTGATGCTGATCAAGAATATATATACTTTATGGGGTCTGAGGTGTCTCCTTCACTGCGTTGCAAACTCCTGGCCAAAATTATGGTACCCTTTGCTCTGCAAGGGTATAATGAATAGCAAAATCGTCCTAGCTTCGTTGTTGTTCAGCCTTTATGCATTTTGTTTGACATATTTGATGACTGCAAGGGTATTCGGCAAGCGGAAGCTAGCTTATTTTCTTGTTTTTAAAAAACAATACTCATAGGAAACGTGTCGAATAATGTAAATATTGAAGAAATAAATTTAAAAAACTAAATTTATAATTTATATTAATTTTTAACACTTTTAATATTTTAATGACAATTAAAATCCTAACATATCTTCCTTTTTCCCTTTCTTTAAGTCTCGGAAATCTAAAGTTTTAGATTTGTATAAATATAGACAAGACTGATAAATTAGTTCGCCAAAGAAGTTTCACTTCTGACATGTGTACTTTGTACGCACACACTTTTTTTAAACGTTTATAATTTACGCACAATCTAAATTCACCTGACTTTTTCAGTACCAACAAAGGTGGAGATACGTATTCAGAATCACTAGGCTGAATATAGCCTAAGGCCAAACTTTTATCTAAAATTTTTTGCAATGCTGTTTTTTCGGCGAAAGACAATCTCCTAGGAGAACAACTAAAAGGTTTGTCATCACTAATTCTTATTTTCATTTTACATTTAACATTTGGTTCAGCAGGGCGAATCGCCTTTATATACATTTGATCAAGCATATCTTCAAACATTTTCTTTACTTTGTAACTTATATGTTTTCCTAACGTATACGAAACTTCAGCATTTTCTATTACATCCATTGCTAATAAAAATGCTTCAAAATTATTTTTGTTGGTTTGTTTCGATTTAAATTTATATTCGTGCCTACACTTATTGCCGTTTCATTATTAATTTCTTTCCTTATTTCTTTACCTATACCTTTATTTACTTGTTTACTTATTTTTCCATTTATTCCTTTACCTATTTCTTTACTTGTTTCTTTACGGAATTCGTTTTTTACTTTTTCAATATCATTTAAAACAACCATTTTTATTTTACTAGCCGATAGAAAATCTCGGCCCAAATCCATTAAATACCCAGTAGACTCGTCAGTGACAACAATGGCTTCAATGCCAACTTCTTTATTAAATATAGAAACAAAACAAAATATTTTTCCAATTGTAATTAATTCGCTTCCGTTGATGCCAACGTACTTTTTATCAGAAACATAATCAAAAATTTTTTCATTTTTTGGAACAGCTGATCGCTTTAAAATTGTTATCGGACTGCCGGAGTCTAAGAGACATTCTATGGGGAAATACTTCTGATTAATCTTACCAAATTTTACATTTAATTTTCTTACATATTCGTTGTTCGCTCCTTCTTTGGTCTTCTTATTCAGAGAGCACTGCCAAGCCTTGTGACCCAACTCATTGCAAACGCCAAATCCGCACGAACTGGCTTACGGCACTCTGCCGCGATATGACCTTTGATATTACAGTTGAAACATATTATGACCCGCTGGTCCGGGGCCACCTTTCAATCAACCCTCTGGTCCGGGGTCAATGCACTATCTGCCCACTGGTCCGGGGCTGATACACTGTCTGCCCACTGGTCCGGGGTTGATACACTGTCTGCCCGCTGGTCCGGGGCCGACTTTTTAAATTTGCGCTGTTCTCTCATGGGCAGCCTTGGCCTTTGTATATATTGAAATGAACGCAAAACATCAGCTGATGAAGCAAAACATTGCAGTTTTGCCTGGTTACGTACATAGTTGCTCATCTGGTATACCGTCTATTAAATACTGGACCAAATCCTCATCAGACATTTGTAGACTTGTAGACATCAATACTTTATCAGCATGGTAGGCAGCAAACTTTTCGTCTAATTGCCATTTACGTTGCACGAACTTGCGTTGAATTTCGACCACATTAGCCTTTATGCCGTACATATTTTTCATCTGTCCGAAAATTTCATCCATTTCAGCCGAGAAGAGCAAAGGGTTTGCTAAAAACCACAACAATGCTTCGCCCTTGAGGCGAGCACACAGTAACTGGCGTTCTATTTCGCTGCCTATTTTAAATATGTTGCACACGCTGGACATACGCAGTAACCACTCGTTAACGTCTCCACTGCCATCAAATTCTGGTATCAGCTCTTTAATTGTCTCAAAAGGCACCATACATTTATTGCGTAGCTCAGCATTTTCGCATTGTAGTTTTAATACAACATGACATATCATCTTTATTTGACTGTACACCGCAGCCAGAAGCCACCGTACTGCATTTTGCCTCACATTCGTCAAACGGTACTTTTTCATTTTCGTTCTCCTCTACTTCGTCGCTGGGCAACGCGGCTGCGCTGCCTACATATTCTGCAACATACATTTTTGCAGCTGCGCGGCTGCTCATCGGAATTTCACAACAGTCGCGACAGCCTATGGCGCCGTCGCAGTCGCTTACATTTTCGGCTACTTTTTCATTTCAGTTGCTTCACTTTTTTCAAGGTCTTTACTTTTCTCAATCGACACATTTAGTTCATTTGCATTACTTTTTACAACTTCGCAATAATTTTCATTACTTTTTTCAATACTTTTATTAGACTCAATACTTTTTGGTGTACTTTTAAGCGGTGTGCCTAACTCTGGACACGAGCCGCGTTCATTTTGCGGAATTTCCATAATTCTTGCTAAGAGTTCCGTTTTATTTCCTTTAGATGAGACTCCAAGGTTATTACACCACGCTTTTACCAGGGGTGTTAGTTGAAGTTTGCCGGTTTGACTGTTAGATGTCGCTAGCAGTACTAGTACATTTGTATCATTCAGCATATGTGTCATTTTTTTCTGTTGACATTAACCTCAAAAAATACACAATTCGCATTCCGTCAAAATAAAAACGTCATAGTTGTTTACCTCAGTGAATATGTCGAGTTTCGTTCCAAGTAAATCGCATTTGCGGCACCAGTGCGGGACCAGTGTGGTGTGGTGTACTTCGAGTTATTGAAACCTGGTGAAACGGTTAATAAGGATCGCTACCGACAACAAATTATCAATTTGAATAATGCGTTGATCGAAAAACGGCCGGAATGGGCCCGAAGACATGGCAAAGTTATCTTGCAACATGACAACGCGCCGTCTCATACCGCTAAACTGGTGAAGGACACCTTGAAAGACCTTGATTGGGAAATATTATCGCACCCGCCGTACTCTCCAGACCTCGCCCCGTCCGATTATCACCTTTTTGCGTCAATGGGACACTCACTGGCAGAGCAGCGCTTCGCCAATTTTGAAGAAGTCGAAAAATGGCTCGTCGAATGGTTTGCCTCGAAAGAAAAAAAGTTTTTTTGGAATGGTATCCATAATTTGCCTAAAAGATGGGAGAAATGTGTAGAAGCCAATGGTCAATACTTTGAATAAAAAAATTTTTCACATTCTCTTGAGGATTAAGTGTTCTTTTTATCGAAAAAACCGGCAAACTTCAACTAACACCCCTGGTAGCTCGCCTATCGAATAATTATTTAGTTCAAGTGGCTTGTCCATTTTAAAACTTTTGGGTGTCTAGGATGAACCGTTAAGTGTTTGTAGTATCCGGACCACTTCTGAATTTTAGTAAGCGCACACACATGTGATGTTTCCTTCGCAACCAAACTTGAACTGCCTCTTTATTGAAGATCCTCTTCCTTCATGCTCTCTCGTGAGAGGGAGCATAGTGTTGTATAATACCTAAATCTAATATTGCACAGTGTTGCTTAGGACTAACTAACTACTACAATATTTTTGACGACATCCATTTAGCTTGCTTTGACTTAAATCGATCGACCATATAGTTACATTTGGGAAGTTTTTCTTTTATAAAGGATTCAAAATGACTTATTTTTTTTATTTATATTTAATCTTTTTCTACCTTCTATGTGGTATTTGCTCAGTTTTTCGAAAATCCAATCAGACACAATGGATATTTTGCAATTGTTGCTGCGCCAAATATCGAAAAGATCGCTATGGCTAAACTCGAACGTCCCTGAATATTGTGGATTTGTAAGAAAAGGGGGACGAACGGGGAAAATGTGTTAATTAGCGTTGAAAAACGACATTTATGTGAACAAACTTACGTTGTTTGTTTTTGTAGGCAGACATTGGGTCGTTTTTTTTTATCCACGAAACACAGGGAACGCATGTTAATTTTCTACAAAAATACACATAAATTGGACATTAAACACAGCTCAAATACTAAAACTAAACATAAATGTATAATATACAGTGAATACTACACACCTTGATCTTAAATTTCCATTATTAACTTGAGTTTGTTTCGACAGATAATTTTTAATTGCACGCACAAACGTAATCAAAAGAATTTGGCGCCAATTTCCTAATTCTAAACAGCTGATCGATTGCATTATTTTGAAAGTTAATACAAAGCTTCAGTGAAGCTTTTAAAGATTTATTATTTAAGTTTTTAGAAGTATGATGTATTAATTTTAAGAATTTAAAACCAAAAATACAAAACATTAACATAAAAATTTCGACTTTATGCCAAAAAATCCGACTTTTGGACCATAGTGCCACGGTGCCATTTGAGTTGGCTGTTTTGTGTATACCGCCCTGCATTTCAAGCCTTTGGAAAACTGACCTAAGTCCAGAGTTCCATTAGTACCTATATAAATCGCTAACCTCAAATCTTGCAATTATTCCGTCAATGTTCATAAGAATAATATATGTTATTTAATTGCAAGGCAAGTCTATTACTTTGTTTCCTGCGCAGGATTATTGACTACTTTTTCATTTGTAGTGACTTAGTGAAAATTTAGCGTTTTTCTAAATGTTAAAATGTTTCCCTGTTCCTCGCGAACTAGTGAGATGTTCAAGGGGGGCTTAGCTGAGGCCACCAGGCGGGTCGCAGGTTGCGGATAGCGAACGGCCTTCTTCGCAAGGTTAGTTGTGAATAAGCGCAAGCTAATAAGCAACCCCGGACAAACAGCGGGTACACCGGAGTCGGTGTACTGATAAGACGCTTGTTTGGCCGTCTTTAAATTGTAGCCTCACACACCCCTCTTCCCTCACAATTACCTACCAACTTCCCTTCCCACAATCTCACTCCGGTGCCGGACTAAGGTGTCATCCGACCCGTGCCGATAGTCAGCCTGGCTGGGGGCCCAGATTAACAACTAGCCCAGTCTCTCACGGAGGGTTCAGGCAAGTGGCGACCGCCTGTCCTAACCGCGCCTTACCCGGGTATGGCGGATCTCTGCCCGGGTGGACCTTACTTTTTCCGCAACTCGTGGGATTCGATTATGAGAAAACATACGAACACCAAATTGCCGCAGGACATCCCTGCCTCGAGTGTCGCAAGACACTTTGAAAACCAACTCCTCGACGGGGAGCGACCACAGGTGGGACCATCCCCACCCAGGAGCGCAGCCACCGCCAGGAGTGCGTCTCGGACGCAAGATGTGAGACATCCCCCACAACGGTCAACTGTTCCAGTCCGGGAACGTGCGCGACCAGCAGGACCATCCCGGCTGGCTCGCCCACCCCCTGCGGCTGGACAGAGGACCAGGCCTGCCGCGAAGACGGATGTCCTCCCAGCCAGAGGACAACCTGGAGGCATAGACGACCCCAACAGGAGAGGCCTGCCGGGATCCAAAGCTAAATGGTACCTCAGATACCTCAAGCAGGGCATGTCACCTGACGAGGCATTGAGGAAGGCAAAGGAGCCACGACCAGCGGCCCCAAGTAGTGCACCTGCCAGCAAGCGGGGTAACAGCACCCTCACCCCTCCGACAGACACCCCAAAAAGGTCGAAGTCAGAGGGCACTAATGAGGTCAAGGCAACTCCCTCCTGCCCAAAGCTTGAGGAGCCTTGCACCTCAAAGGCGGCGGCAGCACGGATAAAGCAGCCACCCTCCATCTCCACAGCCCCTCTTACTGGCACACACACCTCCTATGCGGAGGCTGCCAAGAGGGTCAGAGTGGCGGTGTTACCTGCGGAGTTCCCACAGGTGCACTTGAGCCACGAAGAGCTGTCCGAGTTGGAGGAGACCATCATGGACGACGTAATCACGTCGGCATGGGACACGGCAGTTGCGTTTAGGGGCATCAACTTCAGGGTAGGATACCTCATAATCGACTGCCTGGACCAGGACTCAGCGGACTGGCTGAGGGCCGTTGTGCCCTTGCTCAGGACGTGGAAGGGCGTGCCCCTAGAAACCAAGGTGGGAGAAGATATCCCCGCGGCATATAACGTCACGGTCTTCTGCCCCAGAAGCGCGGAAAGAGATAATGAGGAACTCCTCATGATGCTCGGGCGCCAGAACAGGCTGGAGACGGACGCCTGGAGAGTGGTCTCCCGGAGGAACGATGGAGGCGGAGCACTCCTTGTCATCAGGATCGACCAGCTCACCCGAGACGAGATCGTAGCTAGAGGGCATCAGCTCAACTTTAGGTTCGGTACCGTCTCGGTGAGTGGGCTGAGAAAGGCAGCAAAGGTGGCCGCAACGGAAGGAGCGCCCTCTGGTCCCCCAGATGGCAAAGTGGAGGTCAAGGAATCCCTCGACGAGCCACAGGAGCCTATGGGTACAGAGGAGGACCCTAGCGCCGTTACAGTTGTGAGGAATGAGGATGAGGAGCATCCTACGCCCTCCGACAGTAACGACGATATGGAGGCCGACGTCACTCTGACGGATGGTAGTGGAGGGGAACACACGCCCCCTTCACCAAAGATGGAGCATCCGCTCCAATGATGGCTGCACACAGCAGCACGAGGCTAGCCCAGGTGAACCTAACCCTGATGAGCAGGTCTCTAGGACCACTTATTAAGAACTGGAGATCAGGAAGGCCAAACGGAAGAACTACAGAGACTTCTGTGAGGCAATTAATTTGTGAGGCAATTAAATTTTGGCGAATGCAGCTGCAGCGTGTGCTGAGTTATCACTAATGATTCGAAGCGACCACAGCTGCCGAAAAATTTTACCAAAAAGTGTCCGTGCAAATAGTGCGATTAACTAAAATTAGTGACAAATACTAATAAAATAAGTACGTACATATCTTTAAAACAGGTAAGACTATGATAAAAGTATAAAGTTGGGCTTGAAAATTGTTTTATAAAGAGTGTGGATTTTTTCAAAGGCCTAAAGGCAACATTGCAGTAAGGACATACCAAGAACTTAGAGTATCGAAAATCGATATGAATAAAGAAGTTGCAATCTGTGCCTTTCTGGATATAGAGGGAGCCTTTTACAATGCGTCGCATGATGCCGTCTTAGCGGCCCTCGCCAGAAGGAATATAGACGCGACAACAAGAAGGTGGATTGGAGCCTTGTTAAGCTCCAGGCAGGCAATGGCGACCATTGGCAACAGCACAATGACCGTTGCCACAAGCAGAGGATGTCCGCAAGGTGGAGTCTTGTCTCCTTTACTGTGAAGCCTACTAGTAGATGAACTATTAAAGAAACTCGCCGACAGAGGAATACAATGTCAGGGCTATGCCGATGACATAGTAATAGTAGCCAAAGGGAAATTTGAAGAAACGCTTTGCGATATTGTCCAACTCGGACTCAAGATAACGCTCGACTGGTGCAGGGAAGTTGAGCTTAACCTCAACCCCGCAAAAACAGTCATTGTTCCTTTTACAAAGAAGTACAAACTAAAGAAGCTGAGACAAATCATACTACTAGGTACTCCCGTAGCAATAAGCCGGGAAGTTAAGTACCTCGAAGTTACCTTCGACAGAAGGCTAACGTTTGCAACCCATATGCAAAAGACAGTGGATAAGTGCCTCAGGGCTCTCTTCACCTGTCGGAAAATTGCAGGGAAATCTTGGGGGACCTCACCCCAAATTATCAGATGGTTATACCTTATAATTGTGAGGCCAATACTCACATATGGGTCAGTAGCCTGGGGTAAACGAGCTAGGCTCGTTACCGCACAGAAACAGCTCCAAAGGCTGCAAAGACTGGCATGCATATGTATGACAGGAGCAATGAGAACCTGCCCCACTGCGGCACTGGAAGTTCTCATGGAACTCTCTCCGCTACACTGCGTAGTAGAGTTACAGCGGAAGGCCACCCTACTAAGAATCACTTCTTGTGGGAATGGCAGTGACCGCATCCTCAGTTCTAGGGATGCAGCAAAACTACTAGTCGAACTTCCCCTGAGCTCACACCCCAGGGACGAAATGACAGTAGAATTCAT